GAACTGATAGAGTTATCCAGTATAAATAAAGTTAGTTTAGTTTAGGTTTCCTCCTGTAGTAACACTGGATCAATAAGAGATGATCCTTACTGGACCTCTAGGGGGAACAGTTTAGAACTGATAGAGCTATCCAGTATAAATAAAGTTAGTTTAGTTTAGGTTTCCTACTGTAGTAACACTGGATCAATAAGAGATGACTCTTACTGGACCTCTAGGGGGAACAGTTTAGAACTGATAGAGCTATCCAGTATAAGTAAAGTTAGTTTAGTTTAGGTTTCCTCCTGTAGTAACACTGGATCAATAAGAGATGATCCTTACTGGACCTCTAGGGGGAACAGTTTAGAACTGATAGAGCTATCCAGTATAAATAAAGTTAGTTTAGTTTAGGTTTCCTACTGTAGTAACACTGGATCAATAAGAGATGACTCTTACTGGACCTCTAGGGGGAACAGTTTAGAACTGATAGAGCTATCCAGTATAAGTAAAGTTAGTTTAGTTTAAAAGGATATTAAACAGATTCGTCCAGCAGTGGATCTTTAAGATCTCTGAACCATTGTTTTAAAAGTGAAGCTGCAACATTCGGGTCGTTGCAATCGTCGGGGTAGGCCCAACTGTCAGTTTTGACTTTGAGAGCGTTGACTTCGTCGATATCACCAGGAACACTACAGAAAGTAACAAAGGATTTTTAGACCTACTATTAAATGTAGTGTTCATGACGATGATGGTGGTACCAGTTGATGGTCGTAATGATGATGGTTGGTGATGAAACTTGTTGTAATATTATGATTGGTGGTGATAATGGGTGATGATGATGGTTGATAATGGTTGATGATGGTGGTTGATGATGGTGGTTGATGATGATGGTTGATGATGATGGTTGATGATGATGGTTGATGATAATGGTTGATGATAATGGTTGATGATGATGGTTGATGATTATTGGTGATGATTATTATTGGTGATGATGATTATTGGTGATGATGATTATTGGTGATGATGATTACTGGGGATGATGATGATGTTGGTGATCATTCTCCACGTACCGAAATATGCCTTCTACCGCGGTACCATTTTGTTGAATAATTCGTTCAGTCAGACAGCCCAGTATCCACGGTAGTTTAAGATCAGGAAAGTTGATTCTCTGCATTTCCATCGTGTCTTCAAGTGTACTGCCAAACATCGAGGGATTGAATATAGCTCGCTGGAAAATAAATTTATCCATTTCACAGTTTTAACACTTTTTCCCTTGATGGAAAGTTTGACAGAAAACTATAAATAAACTTAATAAATAATTCATACTATTCACAAACGTATTCGTTTTATGAAGATAAGCACAATGCTTCAGATAGAGCAATGGGTTAAAACATGTGTTAGGATGAATTTGAGGAAAGTGTAAGTGACTTAGTGACCAACCTTGGCGGCTTTAACTTCCGCTATTGTAGGCTGTCGCTGTCCTTTCCTTGAGCCTGTCTTAGCCATTTTTTCCAGTTTGTATTGACAGTTCTCTGCGTACTGGGCTATACGATTCTAAAACAAACACATCATTGTGATGTTAGCTTCGTTATTAATCTTAATAAACCTATTCCCTAATGAACAAACTTTTGATCTAGACAAGTCTAGATAATTTGTCAGTCATTTTGTATTACGCGCGGGAAATTGATACCTTTTTTCAGAAAGCAGTATCAATTTCCCGTGCGTAATACAAAATGACTGAAAAACGGCAAACTTCGCAGGGCTATATTATCCGCATTTTACAACATTTCGCAACGAAACTTCGGAATATTACTAATTTTGTGACGCTCTTTCAAGCTGTGATGAAATCTTTGTCTAGTTCAAAATTTTGTTCATTAGGGAATAGGTCTATTGCAAACACATGGAAAGTAAAATTTTACCAGATTTTTTAACAATGTGATAAATCTGCAAGATTTTTGTTCCATAGCATTCAGCGTGTCTTTACTTACAGAAATCTCCTGCTCTAGTATTTTATGAACAGGCCTCTGGTTATCTTTCAGATGGCTGTACACATATCCCTCCAAGTAGCTGTGATACTTGGCGGAGGGCGGAAACATTGCCAAACAAACTGACATTAATTCCCATCCTTTCTCCAAACTTGACCTAAGACAATCAAAACAATACAATGTGAAAAGCAAGACAATTTCCACAGTTTTTTACCTCAAATGATATCAATACGATGTTTGTGATGTTACTCTGAAAGTACTTCCACACCCAGCAAGCTGAAAAGTTCGCCACTTTTCAAGCTTGCCCGGTGTGGATGCACACTCAGAGTAACATCACAAACATCATATTCACCTGAGTGCATAACACCAACATACACAAAATAATGATATCAATACTTTAATGAGTGTATAGGTTTTGTTCTAATATGTACTATTATCACCTTTATAAATTTTTGGCTTTGTTAACTAATGAACTTATATTATTTTTGGCTGCACAGGACACACATTGATAGTAGTAGATTTTATACTAAAGTGTTTTTCAACCTGTATGGTAAATAATAATTCAATACAATAATAATATTTGCGTGTGCGTGCGTGCGTGCGTGCGTGCGTGCGTGCGTGCGTGTTATCATGGATAATTTATTTTATTATCCATGGTGTTATGTACTCAGGTGAATATGATGTTTGTGATGTTACTCTGAGTGTGCATCCACACCGGGCAAGCTGAAACGTTTGCCTGACCATGGTGGGAATCGAACCGGCGATCTTTGGGATACCACTCCAATGCTCTACCAACTGAGCAACGAGGTCAAGTCGGTTGACTTTAACTAGACTCAGTTCCGAAATATCACCAACTCGAACCGACTTGACCTCGTAGCTCAGTTGGCAGAGCATTGGACTAGTATCCCAAAGGTCGCGGGTTCGATTCCCACCATGGTTAGACAAACTTTTCAGCTTGCCCGATGTGGATGCACACTCAGAGTAACATCACAAACACAATAATAACGATGTCATAAAAAAAGTAATTAGAGAGTCTAACTTGTAAAGAAAACTTGTCAAGGAACTAAGGAAGTATCCCTCGTCTGACTTGACAAGCAACACTTCCTTGACAAGTTCTATTGATTTGTTTTGTCCATACTTACGAACAACAGTTATCAGTGGTCTGTTTGATAAGTTGAAAGTACAGTTCATCTCGAAGTGGCTGGTTAGCCCAAGCTTTGGTGACAATTTCCCACAACGCCACGTCTGGGTCTTTATTGCCTTTTTTGTCACCCATGTACACCAATAAAACTGAAATTCTTACGTCAAGGATAATAGGCTTTACACGGCGACATTTCCATATATCGATATTTAACGGCAGAGTATTAGTGTTTGGAGGTAGGTGCCGTTTGTGGTCCAAGGCCGCAACTAGCCTTGATGGCAAGAAGTATTGCCATAGCAGCTGCGCAGCAACAATGAGAGCAACAATCAGTAATATTAGCAGCAAAAAGAGATAGCCATGACAATTCTGCCAAGGCATACCTCCGGCATCAGTCACACTGACAAGTCAGTGGAAACGAAATACAATGTATAGTGGTCTATACATCCTATTTAATGTGAGGTTAAAAACTATAAACAACGAAACAACCCCCCGAAAATACCGACAGACTACCAGATAAATCCTCTAGAATATCATGAGTGGGTAGGTGGGGAAAAAGTAACGAGGCGCTAGACTCGCTGTAACTAGGCAAAGCATACAATGGCAGAATGAATACCCAGACCAAAGCAATGATCACAAGGCGCAAAACAACCCCCTTTGATCGATATGACGTCACGGACTCCCCTCAGCGGATGTAGCCTGCATAATACATCCGCCGTTAACCTTGCTTAAATATATTTAACCACATTTAACAATTATTCGCCGAAGGCGAGGTGATTATCGGGGAATATTCGCCGAGACGAAGTCGAGCCTGAGGCGAATAATTGTTTTAGTATTTTTACACAAGTCTTTTGTGTTTTTGGGACTAAATTTATTTTAATTTCGCTTATTTCTTTATGAGTATTAACGTCCACAAAACGGCTTGGCCGCCATTTTGAAAATTTCGGTTTTGTTATATTCACCTGTAGGTGAAAATAACAGCTTAATACGTCAAATTTGACCAATCAACGTATAGGATTTGTTATGTTCACTTGTGCAAAAATACTAATATTGAATATTGTAATAATTTCGAAAATTATCGAATAATCATGATATGATTTTTTAAATATCGCTCAACTCTAGCTTTACATAAATATGGGGTGTATGATGCAAGTATTTTTCATCTTTGTGATCGAGGTTCGAGTAATAGTTATTTTGTGCTTCAATAACGATGGTTATTTTCAGGCCTCATTAATATTTTTTCGTGCCTGCGAGCAAAATTCAAAATGTGCCTGCAAAAACGCATCTTATTTAGATTTTGACCTAAATATTGTTTAAATGTCAGTATTTTAACCTGGTTTTTTGTAGATGTAAAGGATACATTTAAACATTTCAAGTGCTTCCTTTTTAAGTTGTTTGTCACGTGTATTGAGAACGGGTTTCTTGATTGGTTGCTAATGAAGAAAAATATTTTGATTCCAACACACAATGTTTTAGTCTTGGACTTCACTTCCATCTTTCCTCCCACCTTCCCAACCTACTTGCCTACCTAAGGTTACTTTACCTTCCCTTCCCTGCCCGCCTACCAACCTTTTTCCCTCCCTCCCATTTCCCTCCCTCCCTCAAAAACACCCTCCCTTACCTTCATCCTTCCCTGCCCCTTCTCTTCTTCCCATCTTCCTTCCCTCCCTCCCCTCCTTCCTTCCTCTCTCCCTCCCTTTTTGTCCCCCCCCCC